CCGCTGCCGCCGCCACAGCCGCCGCCGCCGCCGCCGCCGCCGCTTCCGTTGCCGCCAACTCTCGGCGGCAACCTGACGAGTCCGGCGGTCGGACTCGAATCGGCCGACGGAGGTGGCGTCTGCGGAGGCATCAGTCTCTGTGGCAGCACCGGCGGCAGCAGCAGCAGCCCACCGCCGAGCGGCGTCAGCAGCGGTCAGATCTTCCCGTCTCCGGGGCCCACAGACAGTCTGCTCGCGGCCCGGTCGTCTCGTCTGCCCGCTGCTTCGGCCGGACTCGTGACCGAGTCTGGCGGGCCAGTCGAAGATGCCGTCCGGCGTCAGCCGCCCGACACATCGGCCCCGACGGAGGGGAATGTCAAGACAACGGGTCTATCGTCCGGCCATCGGGCATTCGCAGGGAAGATGTTCCCCTCCACCAGCATTGGCCTCGTCGGGCTGGGCAGCACCACGTTGCCCACGAAACTGGTACCTCCGGCGACCCGGCAACCGAGGGAGGGCAACTTGCCGGAAGAGGATCCGGGGGATTTTGTCTGATTTACACTCCAAACTCGCCTCATCTGCCCACAGACATGCAGCAGACCACTTCGTCCCTCCAGAAGGTGCCGACACGTTCTCCACCTTCCCCGACTCCGGACCTTGCTGCCTAGAGCCTTGTCTGGACTGTGTGGAATCACTCAAATGTGTCCCAGACTGTATTCCCACTTATTCCCTCTTAACACAGTCACACCTCAGCCGGCTAGGCAGAAGTAACAGTTATCTGTAGACGCTACGTTGGGCTTCGCGAGCCAGTCCCGTGTACATTTTCAGCCAACACCACTTGGAAATTTCGGCGAAAAATGCCGGAGGCAACATTCAGTCTTTCCTACCCTTCACTCCAGCTCCTGTGAGGTGTCTTTGAGTCCCCACTATCCATTGTCTCAGTCCACATAGAACGCAACCAGTGGATTCACACCTTCTCAGGGAGCCTGAGTACTTGTGAGGGCACTCGTGACAGAAAGTAGAGAAACAGAGCTCAAATGACATTTTACGCTTATTAACTCTAAGAAATTTTACCCTCTCCTTCCGACCGAAATTCTGCGCTTCATGGCATCAACGAGTAGATCGGTCCAATTACCCGCATGCGGAAACATAGGCACAACGTAGGCTACAAGGAATCCACTAAACACAACATAAATGGCTGACTAGTAATCTCGAAAAGCGAAGAATCAATAATCACACACACACACACACATCTATATATCTAATCTTAATGTAGAGTATTTGCCCCTCTCACACTCTACTTTATACTTGTCTTTATCTTTATTGTTCATACTTCCATCTATCCTTCTTTCCTGCAATATTTTCTCTTTAGATATATTCTTACTTACTTAGCTCGTCCATTTTATGGTTGTATATACAAACATTCATACATACAAACATACAAACATACATAGATAGATAGATAGATAGATAGATAGATAGATAGATAGATAGATAGATAGATAGATAGATAG